GCGGATGGGAATAAACCACATCCGTCGTGGGCTATTTTGATGAGTCACGATGGCAGTGAGTGTAGAATCTTACGTCTAGAGTCTTTTCAGGATAAAAAAATAACTTTGCTCTAAAATACCATATATGTGTATACGTTCTAAATTTTTTCTAAAGATGTTGGATTTGGTCGAGAGTACCCAATCGTAGCTGTATGTATATGCACCCCTGGCTTTGTTAGTCAAACATTTGTATATTTTTAACCATTCGTCTCCATCAAAATTATATAGATTCATGCCACTATTTATTTGGTGATTCTAGAAATTGATTTTATTATTATACAGCGGAGGTAATATATTTTTAAATTCACTATGAGAAATGATTTCATAATATATAGTTCATATATTGTGAAACAAAAAATATTTAATGATGGCAAAGGATCATAATATTTGACTTAGAACAAAGCTAATGTAATATGTCAAATAAATAACAGAAGTACCCTTGTGTCAGGAGTGAAGGTGTAACACCTCTGGTGTTACGAGCTCACTAAGCACTGAGATTATGACCTGAGAGATAGATCTATTAATATAGTGAGTTAGTTACATAAATGCCTATATGTGTTAATGAAAAAAAAATCCTAACGCGAAGAGTAGAATAAGTAGTTCTAAACATTGGCACGGAAGTAATTTTTATAAACAAAATAAAATATAACTTGTATTTAGTACTTAAATAAAATTTGGAGCGCAAGTTTAATAGATGAAAATGCAACTTTTGTTTCTGTGAATAAAAGTCGTTCGATAGTATTTTGATAGATCCTATTTGTGCATTGTAGTGCACGTGTTGCTACTGAATCGCCATCTATAGGTGTCACGCGCGTGTCGTATGGTGCCTATTGACTCGTTCCTATTCTCGGAGTTAATGCTAAATAGTGGCTTTGTGCTTTTTATGTCGCTTTGTGGTTCACGCCTACCGTGACCCACGTCTCCCGATACTCTTTTACGTACTCTTGTCGGAACCTTGTCCTACAGCCGTATTAGTCATTAATGGCCTCGGACATCGCTCACCTCGAACACGTGAAAAATTCGGTTGATTCATTTATAGTGATTTCATGCTGGAACCTTGGTGGACCACACTAGGACCACTGACCGCTCTGCCTTTATAAGTAGGCTCTGGCTTAGCCATTGGTACCACCACTCGGTGCACTTTAGCTTGCCTAGCTTTTCCTTTTGAGACAGCTTTTCGCTCAGTCCTTCCTTGCAACCATCACCAGCGATGGCAGGAGCCTGGGTTAGTAGTTACTGCCTAAACACTGAGGGTTTTCCCAAGATCCTGTATGCCACCCTACAAAAGCTTGGAGTCAAAGATCGTCCTAAGTATGAGGGCCGTGAGTATGAAAAGCATGGCCCTGAGCGGTGTGAAGTTACCGTCTACATTGGGATGAGTGAAGAGTTCCCCGACATCATTGAAGTCTGGAATGTGACCGCAACCGGGTTTTGCTTCGTCGACACCTACCAGGTTGTGGCCCGCAAAGCCTTGCATTACCTTTGCTAGATCTATGAAGAACCCATTGCCCGTACCCCCATGAGGTTCTTTCCACCTTTGGAAAAGAATCGACTGGCATGGAGGGCTTGCATGGAGGCTTTGCAAGGACGGGATGCGCAAGAAGATACTCCTACCGTGGTGCACTTGACCACGTACCTGCTTGCTCTGGATGAGCAGTATGACCGGCAAGCCTCGGAGCTGAGAAAGTGCCTTCGGTGAGCCGAGGAAGCCGAGATCTTCTCTAGGACGCTCTAGGTGCAGCTTGCCGAAGCGCATGCCAGTGCGGCAGCCACTGAGAGTCGAGAGACTGCCATGTCGGAAGCTCTAAAGGAGGCTGAAGATTGACATGCCCATTAGTTAGGAGAGGCCTACCTTGTCACCAGGGCCAAGCGGAGGACGCTGGCTGCTAAACGGTAGGATCCCTTGATCGTGGAGGGGATCCCTGTCCACCCACCAGAAAGAAGGAGAACCGGTGTTGTAGTACCACCAGCACCTCCACCCTCGAAAGTGTCAGAAGTAGAACCCTTGATTCCTCTCACTTAGCCATTGCCAAGAGAGGAGGCAGATCCATAGCCAGGGCGGTAGAAGAATCCACCGAGCCTGGGAATGAAGATGCATGGTCCAAAGTAGATTAGTTGCCTTGGGATGATGTATCTGTAGTTAGTAGTGTCTTTCGTCGCTGTCCACCAGTATTGTAATCTTTCCGTTGTATTTCATTCGTAGTTGTTGAGGTAGTCCGATCTTAGGAAAGGTGAACGATGTGTCGAGAATGGGAGAGTAAGTGCCTGTATGTTGTACCAGCATAAGGACGTTCAAAATGTGCATTTTATTTATTTCGCTGTGTTATTGCGTCCACCTATCTTAAGTCTCGTTAGACGTGCTTAGGGTTTTTGAGGGTGATATTAAGTGGGTTACAAGAGAAATTACCATTCGGATGCCAGCAGACCAGCCATGATTGGATAACATAGGACACTGTATCGACTAAGTCCACTTACCCTCATGTCCGATCGCCATGTTCCTCAACTACCGCCACTCCAGCGGTGGGCTCGCTCGCAGTGGCGATAGTGAGGCCTGACGAGGAGCTCTGGAAGCAGCAGGACTGCGCGTCCTCCACCTCGCCGCCTCCATTACCGCCTCACCGGCGTTGAGCCACGCCACCCCATCCTGAGCCACCGACGGACCACATGCCACAACCCGGAGTTCCGTGCCTACGCTATGAGCACCCTCCGTAGCCACGGCCGTCTCCACCGTGGCCGTGCTGTGCTCGCGGAAGCATGTATGTTGCGATATCACTTCATACAAAGGTTGACGCATATTGTGGACAAGGAAGGGAAGGAAAGAAGAACACCTAGGAAAAGTTAGCCTTGGGTAGTAGGGAGTGCTTAGAAAAGCCTGAGTGGATGTCAAGTCCCAAGCACTATGCCTAGGTCGACCACGCTACGCACGCCGGGTCGCTATCATCGCGTGCCCCGTGGACGCCGTCGATGTCAGGCCCATTAGCACCCTGTCCTCGCATGCCGCAACATCGTGTCGCACTCGTCGTCCTCGTGCACTATGCGCTTCTCCTTTTCTCGGCCTCTGGTCCACTCTTGATCCTCGCCCTCGTCCCCGTACCGGACCCCCTTCCCTTCTTTCTTCTTTTGGGGACACGGCCGCCCACACGCCTCCCTCATCAAGCAAACCCTCTCTCCTCTCCTTTATTCGCCCCCTCTGCTTGCTTGCGCAGGGAGCGCGCCATAGCTGACTTCATCTCCATAGCGTGAACCGGCAGTGTATCCCATCCATGTCGTCTCCACTTTCAGTGCACTGTGCCCCATCTCCGTTCGCCACTATAAGATGCCCTTGGTCCTTGCTCTTCTTCTTCATCCCCATCCCTCTCGAATTCGAAGCAGAGCTACGAGATCCAATCGTCATTGTGAAACTAGGTTCGTTTGACAGAGGTGATGGTGTAATCTGAGAAGAAGGGATCTAGCTTTCGAAAAAGTTCAAGTCTACCGTTGGTTAGTTTAGTCTTAGGGTTCACGATGTTTGACTTCTCAGTCTCCTGTTTTTGGATCTGTTGGTCATACGTCATGTTTTAGATAATCATTATCTTGTTGTTTTTCCATTGCCCTCGTTTATCCTGACTTCTGGAGTAAGCCTTGGTTGTACTAGGTTGCTCTTAACTATGTAACTTTAAATCCCGGTGTAATTTAGTGTTCGATGCCGTGTAATCTTTCGTGTAATTCCAGATTTACGAAATGTGTTATAGTTTCACCTAAAGGGAGTGGATCCTAATTCACTCTTTTGTAAACCCTCGCGTTAGGAGACGTACTTGTGTTGTAGTTTTTGCTCTTTTCACCTATAATGTAATCCTAGCCAATGTTGTGCTTTGAATCTAAGTGTGTTTGTTGCTTGAGCCCAACTCCATCAAATACTTTTTTCTACTAACATGTCATTGATTTACTGACCTAAAATAGGCACCATGTAATAACAACCAACCTCAATGGATCAGTTCGCTGGTCTGGATTCATCCAGCCAGCCGGCTGATCCTCCTCACAGTTCACTATTCACCAAACCAGCCGAACAATGTTTTTCTCTCACAACAAACCAGCCAGAACAGTATTTTTCAGCCAAGTTTCAGACCAACGAACGGGGCCTATGTTGGTTTACAACATTGTAATGAAAAAAGCCATGTTACCTTTCATTTCCATATTTTCCTATTTAATGTACCAAATAGACTAACCTTTCGTAGCAACGCGATGAGAAAATATATTAGACATATGAGCCATATTTCCCAAGATTTTTCCTATACCTAAAGCACATCACCCTTGCAACTGAAGCGAGAGGAAGCGATGACTAGTTCGAGTATCATTAGCGAGATCATGTACTATGCAACTCACATATACACCTTATTTATTACATTTCTAGAGATATTTCTTCTTCATATAGTCTTTATGACAAACTTTTGGATTTGATGGCTAAGCTTATATTACTATTTGTGTGTTCTATCCTTATATATACAATCTATTATATTTTAATTGTTCTTCCTCTATGAGGACTCATGTAATATTGATGTTGATATTTTTGGACATTATGATTAAAACATTAGTTTTAGAGTAACAATAAAAATATATTTATACTATCGTGATATTATTTTTTCGGCACAAATATTTATCAATTCTATCGCCTAGGTCCTCTTCCAAAAAGCCCATGGCATAAAAATGCAACCGTAAATAGAAAAATAATTTGCTTGTCCCTTGAAAAGTACACTTTCCCCGCGTCCGCTCCTCGATCGGATGGCCCCCCGCATCCTCCACGTCAGCGATCCGCTCCCCCGCCAGCTCGGCCAATCGTCCGCCTCCCTGGCCTCTACATAACCTGCCTCGCCACCGTCGCCCCTCCATCTCAATCCCACACCGCCACTCCAGCAGAGCGTCACACACTTCCGGCGATCGATACAACGAGTAGACCAGGCGGTGAGCAATCTCGGAAGGAGAAGATGAGTTCCGGAGGTGGTAGGGGCAAGCCCAAGGGGACCAAGGCGGTGTCGCGGTCGTCCAAAGCCAGACTATAGTTCCCCGTCGGCCGCATCGCCTGCTACCTTAAGACAGGCAAGTACGCCGAGCGCGTGGGCGGCGGCGCACCCGTCTACCTCTCCGCGGTCCTTGAGTACCTCGCGGTGGAGGTAACTGAATCCTCTTTCCCTGCTTTTCCGTTTCTCCCCAGCCTCTTATAATCATTACTTTCCCCATTCGTGAATCAATCGGGAGGTGTTCTAAACCCTATCGTGCTCTTGTAATTGCAGGTCCTAGAGCTGGCGGGCAACGCGGCGCGCGACAACAAGAAGAACTGGATCATGCCGCGCCACATCCAGCTCGCTATGTGCAATGACGAGGAGCTGAGCAAGCTTCTAGGTGCGGTCACTATAGCCGGCGGCGGGATGTTGCCCAACATCCACCAGACGCTGCTGCCCAAGAAGGCTGACGGCAAGGGTAAGGCTGAGATCGGCTCTGCCTCGCAGGAGTTCTAGACTGGCAGTTGCAGCCTTCTCTCTGGTTCACACTTAGCTTGAATTCGGAGGGGACCGCTGCTGAAGTGGAATTGGAAGATGACGGCTGCTGAAGCTTCTTAGATTAGTACCAACTAGCAATACTAGCGTCTTGCCTAGGTTAGGGTTAGGGTAGGTTCTGGGATGGATGTTTTATCAGGTTAAGTTTGTGGTGAATGAAAGTTGGCTGTATCTATTAACCATTCTTGCTGGAATGGGCGGAATGGTTACTTGCTGTGATCTTGTTGCTCATGGAAATTTTTGGTGTTGAAGTTGATACTGATTTTGATCTGTGGATTGGTTGTTTGTTGTGCTGATGGTATCATCTTCATTGGGAGATCAACAAAATTGTAACCATATGTAACTTCAGTCTGCTTCATTTCTCATTTTCAAGTAGAACTAGAGTGCAATTCAATTTTACCCATACTCACACTTATGATAGAGAAAAGTACTATTGCCATTCGATGGTAAGGTCATTTGGTAATAAACATTGGCTGTTCAGCGGCATGACATACGTGGTACTAATTCTGAAACTAAAAGCACAGAGTTCACCGAGGGCTGTCCTTGATGGACCAGAGGAAGGGGAACACTGGACCACTGAAGAATGCTATAGTACATCATGTCATCCTAGAGGTGTTTCAGTACTGAGGGGCAGCGAAGTCGGATATATGCTGAAGATCTGAAATTCAGAAGCCTTCCTATAGGTGTTTCAGTTTTCAAGACATTTCAATGGCTACTAATCCCTTCCATCCATGTGATTCTTTTCAAATAGTTCATCAAGTTTTCAGAAGTTCAGCTATTGTTAGTGTAAAAAAGTTTACCGAATTTACTATCATAAGAAATGAAACATCAAGCTCAGAATGCAAAGTTCTAATCTTTGTGTGGTTTTCTTGTAGATAACATGGCTGGGAAAGGAGGATATGCAGAAGTATACAAGGCACCCTATCTAATGTCCAACATGTAGCTGTGAAGAGGCTCGCAGAACGCATGCCCAGTGAAAAGGTGAAAGAGTTCCCGGCAAAACCAGGGATTCAGGGGCATGTATGCCATCAAAATGTTGGTTTTCTCTTAGTCATATTCATCAGATCGGGATATTTTGCATAGGAATAGAATACATGTTCAAGATTTACGTGAGAGGCGAGAGAGAAGGGGAGTGAGAGGTAGCAAACCATCGAAAGCGTAGTAGTGGTGAAGCTCGGTCGGGTTTTCGTTGATTGAGACGCCATCTCTGTGGCGGTGACGTTCGGTGGAGAGAAGTCAGAGTATTGTGGCGTCCTCGGCGGTGGCGCAAAGGCGTCGGTGGTGCTTCCCATCATTTGTGGCGCCTTCTCAAGATCGGGTCTAGGGTTAGGATGTCGGTGGGGTGGTGGCAGCATGGTGAACCTCGTCTTTTGAGCCCGCCCCCACCTTTCCTTTATAGAATTTGTCTGACGGGGGCCACCAACCATGTAGAGTTGGGCGCCCCCGATCAGGGCACAAGAACAAGGCCCAAAAGGCCGTTGGGCCTACCTGGTGGGAGATCAAACCTAACATTCTCCCCTTGATCTCTCATCTATTCTTACGTTCTTTAATTTCATACTCAAAACTTTTAATTCATATTTTTCTTGCTTCCATCCTATTTCATCACAGATTAGTGCATAGAACTGTCCCATCATCACAGCAATTAGTGCCATTAGACTAACAGCCACAATACACTTCTCTGTTTTGAAATGTAAACTTTCTTTGGGCCCTTCAGATGTGTTGGGAATCATAGGCTTTCCCTTAAACCCATGTTTAGGCTACGTGTTCTCTCCGAACACGTTGGGTGTAAGCCCTTTGTGAGTGGATTCATGAGCATTTTCTGTACTTATATGCTCAAGATTTATTATATGATCCCGAACTTTATCTTTCACAACATAATACTTTATGTCAATGTGTTTGGCAGCACCACTTGACCTATTGTTGTGAGCGTCTTTGTCTGCATTGGATTGTTATCACAATACAATCTCGGTGGTTCATTTATATCATCAATCACTTTCAATCCGGGTATGAATTTCTTCACCAATTCACTGCCCGTTGCCTCATAGCATGCTACAAACTTCGGCATACATTGTCGAGGATGTGAATTCTGATTTGTTTGGAGCTTTTCCACGATATAGCCCCTCCTGCGAGAGTAAATACATATCTGACGTGGATTTTCTTTCATCTCCGCATAATCGAATCTGAATACCCCTCTATCTGCAGGGATGTCGAGATCTTCTATACGTAAGCATGAGGCCTTTCATACCACCGCAAATAACGCATGACTTTCTTCACTAATTTCCAATGTTCAATTCACGGATTCTTTTGATATCCGCCAAGTAACCCGGTAACAAAAGCTAAGTCAGGCGTGTACACACTTGAGCATATTGTAAACTTGCAGCATTTGAAGCATACGGTACCGCTTTCATTCGGTCAATTTCATATTGGTTCTTGGGACAACGATGTTCCCCAAATCTATCGCCCTTGACTATAGGAGCGGTGAAGGACTGCTGCGCATGCATACTAAATTTCTTCGGGACCTTTTCTATGTATGCCTTTTGCGATAATCCTAGAACCCCTTTTTACATTGTCTCGGTGAATCTCTATTCCCAAAGCGAAGCGAGGCCTCACCGAGCTCTTTCATATCAAAGTTTGAGGACAAGAATTTCTTTGTTTCCATTAGTAGATTGATATCACTACTAGCAAGCAAGATATCATCCACATACAAAATTAGGAATATGTACTTTCCATTCTTGAACTTTGCATAAATGCAATTGTCCTCAACATTTTCTTCAAACCTAAAACCTTTTATCGTTCTATCAAACTTCAAATACCCTTGTCTTGAAGCTTGCTTCAATCCGTAGATTGATTTCTTGATGACATCCCATATTTTCCTTTCCTTTTATGACATAAAACCTTTCGGTTGTGCCATATAAACATTTTCTTCCAAATCCCCGTTTAGGAAAGCCGTCTTTACATCCATTTGATGTAACTCCAAATCATAGTGGGCTACAAGTGCCATTATAATTCTAAAGGAATCTTTACATGAGACTGGAGAAAACATCTCATTGTAATCAATCCCTTCTCTTTGCGTGAAGCCTTTCGCCACAAGTCGCGCTTTAAATCTTTCTATATTCCTTGGGAGTCATATTTCGTTTTGTAGACCCATTTCTGACCCTCTTTGTTTTGGCTCCTTTAGGAATATTTTCTAAGTCCCAAACTTTATTGGTACTCATTGATTTCAATTCATCTTCCATGGCCTTAAGCCACTTTGATGAGTGGTCGCTTCTCATGGCTTCTTCAAATGAGGTGGGATCATCCCCATCGACATTCTTTCTGTTTCATAAACTTCATAGTCATCAGTAATAGCTGATCTTCTTATTCTTTGAGACCTTCTAGGTGCCTCCGGCACTTGTTCCACATTTGGCTGTTGTTGTTCTTCCTCATGTGCAACATTTGGTTCTATAGGTTCCTCAAGGATAGGTTTCTCAAGGACAGGTTCCTCATGTTCATTCATTGTATGCCCGGGAGAACTTGCAACAGATGTTGGTACTACGATTGTGTCTGCCTTTGTCGATTGCAACAATGAGTAGCGTGAAGAATGGTTCTTCAACCATCGGAGTGGGTACATGTACCGCTTCTCCTATAGGCTGATTTCTCGTGCTACCATGCTCCCCGATCATGTTATCCTCCAAGAACATGGCGTGTCTTGTTTCTACAATCTTCGTATATACAGCCGGGACAATAGAAGCGATATCCTTCGATCTTTACGGATAGCCAATAAAATGGCATTTGTTGTTTTGGAGTCTAACTTTCCTATGTTTGGGTTAAACACTTTTTGCCTCAGCCGGACAGCCCCCCACACACAAATGGTTAAGTGAGGGTTCCCTTCCTGTCCATAATTCATACGGTGTTTTAGGCACCGATTTGCTTGGTACTCGATTAAGTATGTGAATGGCGGTTTTCAGTGCCTCCATCCATAAACTAATCGGTAATGTGGAGTAACTCATCATGCTTCTTACCATATCCATTAAGGTACGGTTACATCTTTCAGCCACTCCATTCTGCTGAGGCTCCCCCGGTGTGGAGTACTGAGCAACTATGCCATTTTCCTGTAGGAACCTTGCAAATGGTCTAGGAATTTGGCCATATGGGGTATGTCGCCCATAGTACTCTCCACCTCGGTCTGATCGTACTATCTTGATTTTCTTATTGTGCTGATTTTCAACTTCAGCTTTAAATATTTTGAATTTATCCAATGCTTCCGATCTTTCTTTAATTGGATAAATATTGCCATAACGAGAGTAGTCGTCATTGAATGTTATAAACGAGTCATAACCATCCACACTTTTCACAGGAAAAGGACCACATATGTCTGTGTGGATTATTTCTAAAATTCCTGTGCTTCGTTTGGCATCTTTCTTAATTTTCTTGACATGCTTTCCTTTGATGCAATCAATACATTGTTCTAAATCTGAAAATTCTAAGTGCGGGAGAATTGATTCCTTAACCAATCATTCCATTCTTCCCCTCGAAATATGGCCCAAGCGACAATGCCATAATTTCGAAGAGATAGTATCAATTCTCTTTCGCTTCTTAGTTACATCCGCAGATGGGGAATCATTCACATTCTCATCACATACATTGTTCGCATTCTCAGCAAGAGATAATAAATAAAGCTTGTCTTGTCGGAAGGCAAGACCAACACATTTATTATTAACCAGTATCTTACACTTGCCATCACCAAAATGGCAATCAATTCCATCATCATCAAGTTTCGAAACACTTATCAAATTTCTACGCAAAGAGGGAACATAAAGTACTTCTTTAAGTCTAAGTACAAAACCATTATTCAATTCTAAAGAAAAATCTCCAATGGCTTCAATATTGGCTTGCACTCCATTTGCAACTTTAATCGTTCTTTCTCCTCTTTGCAAGGTTCTCGTCCCACTTAACCCCTGTAAAGAATTTGCAACATGAGT